TAAGTAAGTAAAAGTAAGTAAAACTTTATTTATATAGCACCTTTCAAGATAAAAATCACAAAGTGCTTCACAGAAGCTAACAATTTAAACATGTAACAACAAAGTCATGTTTAAATTGTTGAAAACCAAACGGATAAAGCGCAGGAAGCGAATCTGTGGCTCAACACTAATCAAAAAAAGACTTATCAGGAAGAGCAATTACATAAGAGCTACGGGGAGCAGTGGAGAATATTGTTGGACCATTACTGGAGGTAAACGATACTGAGGGGAGGTGGTGATGATTGTGGGGGTGTCAGGGTTGTCAGAGATAGTGTCTGTGCTGTTTTGACAAGGAGGCAGAGCAGCTGGATTCATCAGTTCAGTGTGAAAAAACTTGTTACTGATGTAGTTGTTATTAGACTCACAGTGTTGGTGAGCTTGGCAAATGTGACGTTGTGCTAAAATGTTGCTTTTCTGAATAACCTGTAGGGATTGGAAGGTTAAGTTTGCTAAAAGGCAGCTACAGTCCTGAGCTGTGTGCTGCCTTGTGATTGTAGGTGTATTGAAAAGAGACCTTGTCTTTGAATTTGAACGAAGAGTCTGATAGATAGGGTTTGGTACACAGTGGAGTACTGGTTGTGTCTATAAATACAGATATTACCCTGCATGAGCTGACTCACTGAGTAGTAAAAGAAACCTCAGCAGTCAAGGCCATAGACTGTATATAAAGGATGGACATAGCCATTGGTTTCTGACCTTTACATTATAAAGTATCAATGCTTGACTTTTGCCTGTTGCTCCTGTGTGGGTGGGTGGATAGTTTTTATTTTTTATTTTTATTGACCTAGAATGTGCTCTAGGAAGACCAGATGGTGGACTCCTAAGTAATCAGCTAATGCTAGCAATGCTAGCAGCTAACTTTGTCTAAAAACATTCAACCCTGTACAAGTTGCTGTTTGGTAAAATTTCCTGTTGTGAGCTGATAGTAATCACTGTCTAAAACAAGTCTTGAAGTGTTTTGAACCAATGCTGCACTTTTAACAAGGAGATTGAATCCCACTCTTGGTCTGTTGTTTTTGTTTCTCACAGGACGATTTCCTGTTCAGCGTGTCCATTGTCAGCGGTTTGATGTGCATCATATTGGCTGTAATCAAGTTCATGCTCGGCAGAGTACTGACAAGCCGAGCTCTCCTCACTGATGGTAGGTGTGCACGTGCAGAGAGATCATAGCTTTTTAGAACTTGTAAACTTTCTCAGCTTTCCGTAGTGATGCCATCACAATCGTAAAAATCATGGGTTTGTCACTCTGACATGTCTGTCAGCTCCAATTGGTTTCCTAAAGTTGCCTTATAGTTGATGAGATTACAGGTGCATGGAGCCAGCTTAAACATCTGTCACACTACTGGGTTCTTGGTGAAAACAGTGGTGAATATCACAGTGACACTAGCAGGTTTCTGGGAGCTGACCTCTGAACCCTCAAAGCCGACTTTGACTGACATTTGTCGTCTCTTTCCAGGATTCAACTCACTGCTGGGGGGGATCATGGGCTTCTCCATCCTGATCAGTGCTGAAGTCTACAAGAATGAGCCCAAGGTGTGGTACCTGGATGGAACAATAGGTGTCCTGATAGGTCTGATCATCCTCGCCTATGGAGTTAGGTAAGTGGCTAGTACTTGGTAAAAAAATGGCGTACCTTTTATTTGGTGTCATGAGATAATTGTTGATATTGCAGTAGAACATATCCACAGAATGAATAGAGGAGCTGGGGTGGAGGTGGGTTGCAAAGCAGCTTGCAGAGCATTGGTTTGGACATTTAGTGAGGAAATGGTTTAAACTAACTACCCGAATAAATACTCTGTGGTGTTTCAAGATAATAAAAGCACAATGAAGTCAGAATACCTCCATCTGGAGTCAGTATTCATAAAACCAAAGCTTACAAAAAATTACACTGTGTTAGTTCTGTGTGGAAAACCAATTTCAGTGTGTGCAGTTTTGTCACTGGATTCATATAAAAGCATTACAAGTTATATTTTGTACACGGGAATGATGAAAAAATAAAATAGTGACACCTTTAAAGGTTGAAATCTCGAGGCTAGAAAATTTGTATTCTAACAGCTGGTAGGGGTCTGAATGTTGCTGTCATCTCCATTTTCAAATCCCCCAAAGCGACCTTAATGTTTAAGTGCAATATTGAGCCGAGATGCTCAGATGTATCATTAGGTGGATCAGAGGTTGATTTCTTTGCCTGTTTTTTGTGTCTGTGCCGCAGACTGCTCCTGGACATGGTCCCCCGCGTCCGACAAACCAGGAACTACGAGCGCTTTGAGTGACGGATCACAGAGGGCGGGTTTGGGAGTGACTGGCAGGATGGGGACTGTAGAGGCCCTCCACAGACAATCACAATCAGTCCTCGCGGTGCCAGCGAAGGCGTCGCTGTCTGTGCAGTTCTCCCATTCAGAGCTGGAGTGGAAGATGGCGTCAGTGGCATATTTTTAATGTTTTACAGTTTAATGTACATATGAAATGTTCACCTGTTTTTCAGAAGTCAAAGGCGCAGTCTGCTTTTTCATGCCTCCATATTTAAAGAAGGTAACAGAGATAAGACTGTGGGGGAGGGGGTTAATGTAATTTTTCAAAAGTTGTACACAGCTCAGACTGCAGTGTTACGGATGTTCAATACCTCAGTTACATGTCATCACTCCGTCACGACAGAGCAGCTTGTTTTTTCCCATGGTTCCACGAGGCCTTTGCTCAGCTGTGCTATAAAGCTTTGCAGCACAGCAGGTCAGAGTGATTGATGCAGCTGATGTAGCGGTGGAGTATTAATGGTGTTTACCTTTTTATGACTAGAGAGAAGATAAATATCAATAAAAAGTCCATTTGGCACAAGGAGCAGGTACATAAGCACACACATGACAGGCTCAGTGACGTGTGATTAGCCGTTTATAATATTTATCCAGACTGCTGCAGCAACGTCCTTTTAGTGCCAGCTTACAATCCTGGAGCAAAAAAATAATCTTTCTTGGCACTGAGAGTCGGGATCTGACCCTTTTCCACTGTAACTCTAACAGAAGGAAAACAAAACGGCTGCGCTGCCTCCCAGGAAAAGCATTTATACAATTAACTCGCGCCCTCTACTGACCAAAAGAGGAGACTACAAGATGTAGGTCATTACATGAGAACGGTTATCTAATATGCAGTTGTGCTCAGAAGTTTACACACAGTCATCATGGGTCTGTCATGGTAATTTGGCATTTTGAACTAGGGTGGAATGATTGTTCAGGATACATGTGCAATAATTCAAAAACAAGAACAGGCTGCAGAGGTTTCAGTATATTTCAGATTTTCTTTACTCCACGCGGGGTCAAAAGTCTACAGAGGATCAAATATGTGCAAGTTGCACCTCGAGCCGCAGAATTTGAATTTACACTATTATTTTATCCGCTTTGTGCAGTGCACGTGTGTCCCAGTAAAACAGCCTGAGAGCATGATGTTACCACCACCATGGTTGACGGTGGGTACAGTGTTCTTCGGTTTGAAAGCCTCACCTTTACTCCTCCAAACATACGTCTTGTCATTGTGGCCAAACAGCTCAATCTGTGTCTCTCTGACCATAAAATATTCCTCCAGGAGGTATTTGGCTCGTCCATGTTGGCAGTCACACATTTCACTTGTGCTTGAAGGTGTCGACTTTTTTACCAGGAGGTTCTTTCTTGTTTCAGTGATCCTTAACATCTCAACCAATTTCCTCTTTCCTGAGGGTAAGAGTTGGGGTTTTCTTCCAGACCTTGGAAAAGTGGTGACACGTCTGAATAACTATGTGAATAACTACGATTCTTTGAACCGATGATCTTGCCGTTTGAAGTTGTTTAGAAATGCCTCCGAGAGACCGGCCCAACTTGTGTAAATCTACATAAACTTGTGACCACCAACTGTAGCTGAGTGTTTGAAGCCTGACCCTGAGACAAAATTCCCCACATGAGACTCATGTAATGGTCAAAGAAAATGACCGTCACACTAAATGCTTCCACACTGTTGGCACTGAACTCAATGCAGATACAGCTTTCATACTGACCAGTTAGGCCCCACACGTACACAGGTATCAGTAAGCTCAGCTTGTTCTTTACCCTGATGCAGTTTTAGGAGCTGAAGACTATGAAAGAGTTCCAGACAGAAGCTGTTCACAAACTGCTGTTTTTATGAGTGGGCAGCAAGAGCTGAGTTCTTACCTCTGCCAGGGAAGTGATCTGTTTCAGTTTGTCTGTTAACAGGTGCTGGTCCAAAAGCTGCAGAGAGATTTTCAGGAACATGTAATCAGAAGGTGATTGTAGCGCAGTGTGCAGGTTTTTAACTGTCAGGGGTAATTGGATGGATTCTTCAGATACGTCACAAAGTCGAGCATTATAAGATCGGAAAACCTGAGAGAACATGAACCAAACTTGTCTGGATTTTTCCTCCTGGGTTCAGTTCATGCATGCTCTCTGCTCTTATGTTTGTAACATTGTCGTGTCAGTGCTCTGACGAGCCAACCTGTGGATGAAGTAGGAGTTCTGTTGGTTTGGGCCACAGTTGTGTTTTTGCACGTTAATGTGGGCAGGTATGTAAAAACACACACAAACAGACATCAGTGTACACGTGGACAATGAATCTCAGTATTTGTCAAATGTGCGTGTTAGACATGTGAGGTTACTGCTGCTGGAGGAGCAAATCTTAGAAACTGTGAAGTTCTTTAAAAGAATCGGAGGTTGAGCTGGTTCAGGTTTGAGTTTATCCAGGTAACTCCAGGGTTAACCTGACTTTTCTGTATTACGAAGGTGGTTTACTTCTTACTGGGATAACTAATGCTGCAGACCTAACGTGCTCTGGAGCTGCAAGTATGAAATCACTACTCCCTGACAATTGGCTGGAAAATAGCGTCACCATTCCTGGAGCATCCCTGGGACTGCAGTGCATGGACAGTAATGGAAAAGTCTTTAAAGAGCATCTAAAGTCTTTGTGTTTTCCTGAAGGACGTCAGTAATTAATGTAGATTAGTAGACAGAACTTTAGTTGTTGATTTTTCAGTTTTATTGAGCTCTAAGGATTTATATAAGATTCTAAAATCAGCACATACACCAAGTCTACATTTGTATTCTGCTTTTTATATTTATCCTTAACCATAAATAGAGCGTGGCTGAAAGAATAAACTTACAAAATGAATTTATTGAAGTAACAATTATAATCTGTCTGATTCTCCTGTATGTGCTTCCTTTGGAGACTTCTTTAATGTTATCGTAGTTGGTGCAACCACCTCCTCTGACACAAAAGCAGCTGGATTATTAGTCTATTAATCACAGACTCAAGTGGGTTTTGTTTCGTGTACGCTGGAAGATCAACAGCTTCTGTTCCCTGTTTGTTTGCATTCACCCTAAATGGATCTGACGGGTTGCTGCTCTCTGTGAGTTTGAGGTGCTGAACTTTGGACAGCAGCCGGTGGGTTCACGTGTTTCCTGTGTTTAAGAGGAGGTCTCCAGCACCAGTGACAATGAGGAGCAGGACTGGGAGTAGTTACTGGGGTCAGTTAGGGCCTTTGTAGCAGCTCTCCTTGTTACCACCTTTACACATGTGTTTGTTACCTACTGGCTGGTGAAATGAAAACAGTGTCTGTCCTGCACTCAGAGCTCACAGTACTACAGACATACACTGTAGAGGCTGCCATATGGTTTTGGGTCAATGGCGACGCCCCAACAGGGAAATATTTTAATGAAATTCAATGCAGTGATGATTGTGGACATTAAGTGAGTTGCTGTTTATCAGGAGTCAACGCGTTTCCTCTCATATGTGAGGCTGCTGTTTGGTTTTGGGCCATTTAGAAGGGTCGCAGCTACATTTTCAGGCAAAGTCCTTTTTGGTTTAAAGAAGCTTTCACTTTCTAGCTGTCCTCCTCCTCCTCATCGTCGTATTGAAGGACTTACTTTGTACAATAGAGCTCCTCTCTATCCCAAAGCCTTAATTTTCAAGGTGTTTGTGCAACTTGATCAGGGTTTTTTTTTGTTAGTTTTCATATCTCCCACATTTTCCTCAGTCTGTGCTTGCTGCTGTGACCGTAACTGAATGTACATGCTGTGCTGTGATACTAGTTTTTATGGAAAATTTGTGACTGTGCTGTTTGGTTTTATTTATTTAAATACAAGTAAGGGATCAATTCTGTTCCTGAGCTTGTGGAGATACATGTGTGCCTAAAATCGGTGTGAGAAACAAAACATGCAGATAACAGAAAATTATTTTGGAAGGCCATAATATTAAGAAAAGATCACAACAAAAATACAAACAGCTTGTAATCACTAATTTCCTGTCTTGGACATGTCGTAAACACCGAGAGACACATTTAACTTCATATCAGCTCGGTTTTCTTAAACTCTGTGACACAGAGTTTGAGGCGCTCCTCAGCCTGCTGACTGTACACTTCTTTGCTCGTGTAAATAATCTGTATAGCTGTAATGTAAAACCAGAGTCTGAGCCATTTGTCACAGAAAAAAGGTTTATTTAAAAATAAAGTTGTATCCCTCTTACTCGTCAAGAACAGTGAAAACAAAACCATTGTGTTACCCACTTTTCACTGCTGTCCTGGGGTTTCTGACTTTTAACTGAGAGCAAAACAAATCTTCATCCATGTTGGTGTGTGTGTAGCAGAGTTCATACAATGGAGACATTCAATGCTGAGGTCAAAACAGATGATATACGCTGATTTATTCTGTCCAAACTTTGCTGATGGCTTGGCGCTCTGAGCAGATTCCTCCAGAAACCAAACATCCTATGATCTGATCAAAGATGTGCTCTGAACAAGCCCAGCTAACAGAAAAGAAATAAGGCTCTGGCTGCAGCAGAAGGGGTTTAGCTAATCACTTAAGCAGGCCTCAGAGTCATGGTTATTAAGAAGCGACTGTGAAGGGTTCAAAATATTTGCTTATTCGCTGAAAAAGGAATCGTGCTGGGTATCACTGTTGGTTTAGCACGAACTCAAGCATTCCCACCTTGGATATGTACGAGCTTTAAACGCTGATGATATTCTACCTTTAAAAAATAAAAAAATAAATCATGACCAAGTTCCATAAAAAGACCAAAACCATCAATGAACAGTTTGCTCCAGCAACTCTCTTATGCATGTGCCGTTTAGTTTGACTCAGTCCCACCTGCTACTCTGTCCTCATGTTTTAAGAATGGCTGCTAAGCGCTACAGTCCAGTAATCATCCTGTGAGTCACTCAGTGCTTGTGTGCACTTGTCATCAAGTGTGAAATGTGGTCCTGGAGATACTAGTGAGACTATTTTGACGCCGTTTAAATGTGCATTAAAGATGAAGAACCACAGGTGCACGGTTGATTTAAACGATGTGTGTGATCACACTGGTCTAAACATTGACATATTCAGTGCTACTCAAATACAAGGCTTCACTTACAGCCCTGATTTTCTTTTTGAATTCAAAAAACCCCCAAAATGTCACCATCCAGGCTGATCTATTAGCTGACAATCTTTTATTCTGAAAGTTACTTCAATTCAGTTTCAGTTATATAACCAAATCACAACAACAGTGACCTCAAGGTGCTACAACACAGAGAACCCCAACAACTTACCATGGGCAAGCACGGCCCCCCATGGGCAAGCACGGCCCCCCATGGGCAAGCATGACAAATGGCTCCTGGCTCGTCTTTCCTACTATCAGGCTCGATAATGGTCAGCTGCTTCTTGACTCAGTCAGATGTACTCTAACTCCTCTTGGACTTTCATTTCAAGTAGAAGTAAAGAAGTACCAGCTGTGGTTTGACACAAACTGAGTCGTCTGCTTGATGACAGAGTCACTGGAGAGGCAGCTGATTATTGCTTCATTATTTATTGTAGAACAGCACATACTGTGACGTTTCACAATTCACTGATCAAACTGTAGGTATGCCCCCTTTTAAATGTATGCCCCTGAAACTGATTACTGGACTCCAGTTTTACATTTTTAACAGGAACCAATGCGGAAACTAGCGATTTGCACTAATGCACTGTTGGTTTTGGTTTTTTTTAATGGGATTTGTTTTGAAGCACCACCAGATGCTTTTCGTGAAAGTTTAAAAACCACTCTTTTTTTCTTTCTTCAAGCTTGAAGCCACTTGTGTATCCATCACATGTGCTGCAGGTCACGTTTAGAAAGGACCAGACAACTATGAGTAATCAGTTTAAGGCATTCAAAATCAGACATCCCATTTATTCTACATGTGCTGTAATCATCTGATTCCTCTTATTACTGACTACTCAACTGGTTAATCGCATTACTATCACACATGTGAATCCACTGCCGAGCTTGACTGGTAAACATGATGAGCTGACACTGCTTTCTTTCTTTTTGACTTTAGTTCTGAAAAACAAAGAGCCTATCAGTTTTATCACTTTCCCAAATATCTTCATCAAAACAATCTTAAGATGTGGACAGCCAATTTAAATTTCTTAAAATGAATATAAATCAAAAAACAAACAAAAAAACCCAACCTGACTCTGATGTTGCAGAAGTAAACATGTTTAACAGAGTAACGTCACCCTGCCACAAATAGCTCACCAACAGTCGTCAAACGAAAGCAGAACTGAAGTTAAATCACAAAAAGGCACGTCATGTTTTTTGAAACACTTAACTTGGCGGCAGATCGGTGACCTGCTTAACAGGGTAAGAAAAAAGAAGAAGAAAAAGGCGCCATTCAGGCTGAACTGAAACGTGTGCAAACAGAAACAACAGTGAAATGAAAGCAAAGCACAAAGTGTACGAGGCTCATTTCCCCACAAAACAAGCATGTTTGTCCACTACTGTCTGCCTTACAGAGAGCGCGATGAGAGTTACGTTTAGACTGGAAAGTTTAAGCCAATCTTTGTGTCATTTAAGCTCTTTAAGGAATAAATAATCAAACATTTGATAAGATATTTTCTATACTATACTTTCTAGAATGATCACAAAGCAGCCAGCCAGACAGACACAGGCCTGGCTTAGGTACGTAAATCCATTTGAGACCAAATTCTGGTGCAAAATAAAAATGCTCCAATATTTTATTTTTGTTGCTTTTTTTGGTCTCATATCACAGCTGAAAGCAGGACAGCAGAAGACAAAGTCTCCTTCTCTTTATTCATACACCTAGAGACAAATATGCTTTTTTTAATTACATTTAAATTACCCTCCATAAATAAAAGTCAATAAAAAGGGAAACAAAAGAAAAGACACCCATCCTATAAATAAAAAAAGAAAAAGATTTCCAGCCGAACACAGCGATAAAGATCTGTATACAAAATAAATACAAAAGAAAACCTTTAAAACTCATATGAACAATATACAGTGTTACTAATATTATGTTAAACCTCTGATTAACTTAGTGCATTTTTTCCATTCACCACAAGAAATACAAATCTCATCTTTTTTTCCTTATTTATATTTTTTTAGCAAATAAACAGGCAAATTAAGATCCTAACGATTATCCAAAGAAAAGGAGGAGATGCAAGGCGTAGCGCCCGCCGCGGAGCTCTTTGTTGACATGTCTGTGGTGCGTACAGTATGCTGCAAAGGATTTACAGCGGTCGTGTGGAAGATGGGAGACGAGTGTGAATCTGTGTTTTGTCTTTTTTTTTTCTTAGTCTTTTTTTAAAAACAGTTTACTACACAAAGACATGGACGAACATCCCTGTAAGTAAGGATTTTGTGTTTCTCTCCGAGTCTTCGGAACAACGTGTTGACAGTAAGGCTTCCCAGCCTTTTGCTGCAAGGTGTTACCGCTGCTACTGATGACGGCTATCGTCTACGACTCGACGTCACAACACAGAGAACGAGCGATGTCATTTTGGTGCGTGCCTAGTGCCGGATGGTGTGCTTAAAACAGGCAGACAAACAAAAAAAAATTACAATTCTCTACTGGCCTTTTGCAGAAACACTCACAGACACACACAGTCCCTCATCTTTACAACGTTTTAAAACACGTGTGCAACTTAAATGTATGAAAACCGAACACGACAGTCTTGAATTTCCTCTCTTTTAAGGGTGGGGGTGGGATGGGGATGAAGATCACGGAGTCTGGTGAGGATGCGTCAGGAAACGATCGAAACTGCCAGGATAAAAATCTAGATTTCTACTTTTACTTGTCCAATCTAGTCTTTTTTGTTCAGAAGAGATGAATGGGTTGGTTACAGTGTAAATCTGATTATAGCCCACTGTGTTTGTGTGTGTTTCTATGTATGTGTGTATGCTGGGGGATGTGGGCCTTCAGCGGTGCCGGTCCAGTGCAAACCTACCTAAAAATAACAGTTTCAGATTAGAGCAGGGGTGAGATGGACGGAAGGGTGGAGTGGAGGGGTGGAGGGTCACCGATATGTGCAGTCCACCTCATCTGCTGCGACTTCGTACGACTCCCTTTGTTGATTCAAGTAAATCCACGCCACTTCCAGGCCTCATAGCGCCACCTGCTGATGAAGGTGAGAGTTGGCAGATGCTCCGGTCAGCTGCAGGAGTGCTCCTCCTCCAGCTACCGGAGGAAAACAATAAATATGAAGAGCGAGCTCAGTCCTGTGATTGTTCTTTTTGTCCTGTTGTTGTCACAAAGGAGTCTGGTTTGTGTGTTTGATAGCTGCATGACTGCTCGGGAATGTGCGTCTCCCTCAAGCACACTCCTTGAAGCTGCTGTACATCCGCCCACCACCGCCCCCTCCCCGATCACCGCAATCCCATCTGATTCCTGACCCTCTGTCAGCCTGGGTGCTGCTGCTATAGGCAGTCTTTGCACAGCGCCACCTGGCCCTTCATGTAGTCACGGCAGGGACAGATGCGCTGCAGTGTCGAGTGGGCGCCGGCGCAGCTGAACAGCAGCAGGTCCGACTGGAAGATGCAGTGATGGCGAGTCTCGCTGTATGCGGGCACAACGGTGTCGGCGCTCGACTCCACCGTTTGACAGTCCATGCCAAACCTGACGGAGAGACGGACCGCTTTAGATTTTATTTTTAAACACTTTTTTTAATGTGAAGGAGAGACAAGAAGAGAAAACACATGCACACACACTGGTGTCTTTGAGCTGCAGGCTTGATAATCCATTTTTCTTCTGTAACTAAACTCAGCCCACTAGTGGTCATAACTATAACTGCAGGTTTCAGCAGCTCATCAGAGAATGATAAATGCTCACATGAGCTTAAGCCTGGGTCGTGCTGCCACCTGGTGGCCACTAGTATTGAGGCAAAGTATGTGTCCCACCTGGCCAGGTCTTTGTCCTTGTTAAGGTGCTGGAAGAAGGAGGGCTCACAGATGAGCTGCTCCTCCTGACAGACCTGCTTGCAGGAGTGCCCGGGCTCTGCCAGCTTCACTTGCAGGGCGCTGAGGGGAGGCCACATGACCTGACCATGACAGAAGTCCTGAGGACACAACATGATGTTAAACAACAGGAGTGCAAAAAGGAGGAAAAAAGAAAAGGGAAAAAAAAACGTAACTCTGTAATACCTGTATGCTTTATGTAAAGAAAGTAAAAATAAGTTAGCTCTGCCGCTCTTTAAACTAACTTTCATATAATTGGTTGCCACATGCAAGCAGAAGGTTTAAACGGGAGGTGGGCGGGGCTTCTGTGCTCGGAGATTACAGAGATCCAAGAGCTTAAAAGCTGACAGAAATGAAACGTGTAGTATTCTTCGTACACGTGCCGACCTCACTATTTAAAAAACATGTCCGTCTTTAATATGATCTTCCAACACTGTAACACAATATGACAGAAAATAAGAGCAAAATTAATCTGAATAAAAGCATTTTGTTGGCATGTTATACCTTTAATTTGAAGATAACAGGAAATGATCAGGGAGATGACAGAAAGGTGTTGGCCTACCTGTCAAACTCCATTAAATTCATCTTTATTGTAGATTTTGTTCATTTCATGGGATGTTTTGATCGCTCTTATAGCTTCTGCTTCCTCTCATATTTCATTTTGCTTTGATGTCTACTTGCTGTAAATGCTTATGTTGAGTTATTTCGACAGGCTTTAATCTTTGAATTTTAATCAGCAGCAGCTGAACTTGCTGGTTTTGAAAATCTATACGGCCCTGGGGACGCCAACCACAGCTGAGGGTGGCATGAATTAAAGCCCGACATGATTTCATTCTGACTTGTGTGCACGTGGAAAAGATGGAGAGGCGCTCTGCAGAGGCAGTACCTGGTTCTCGATGAAGGCGTTCACTCTCTGCAGCATCCCCTCGCAGGTGAACTCATAGGGCAGGTAGGGCTCAATCTGAATAACACAAAACACAGACTGTTAAAACACGTGCAGGGCGAGGGAGCTTGTAAACTCTTGTGCTCGACAGTGTTTCTATATGATGACGCTCAGAGAGCTCCTCCCGGTGAACCGTTAGCTTGCTGTCTGATCTTTGCGCCGCTGTCCGCCTCTGCACACTCTCCGATTTGTTGAAGGAAACTTCAAACGGGGGACAACCAACAACTGCAGCCTTTGTTGCTGAACTGAGTCGCTCCGTGCTCCCTCTGAGCTTTTGGCTGCTGGGAGGAAGCAAGGATGAGGAGAGGGGAAGGGAGGGGGGGAGCAGGAGGAGAGCCGGAGCCTGGTAGGCTGCGTCTCGCCACGGATCACGGAGCATGTGAGGCTCTGTGGGCTCGTCCAGTGAACACAGGCATTGTTCTGACCAGCTCGGCGGAGTACAACAACACAACGAGGTCCTGAGTCCGGTTTTAAATATGCATGGGCCCGGACCAGGAGACGGAACACGATATCTCCATCAATCCTCCTGCGGCTCCAACAAGGTTTTCCTTAACGACTCCGGTCAGCCAGGATGCCATTTACACAATCACACCCTCTTTTTTGCTCCGTGTTAAGACATGTGAGGCACACTTGCTTTTTAACTTAGAAGAAGAAGATTTGAAGATTTGAATTTTTCAGATTCATTCACTGCAGCTCATCATATAAGAAATCTATGAAAGCCGCTGTCCACATTTTTATTCAGTAAACAAATTCATTCCCTCTTCACACCAAATACTACAGCAAAGGGAATGGAGGCAATAACTTTAATTAAAAAAAGCTAACTCACACTCTTTTCAAGTCCAGCCACAAGTTCTCGATCAGACTGAGATCTGGGCCAATCCAGAACATTCACCTTGTTGTCTGTGTATCATTTCTCTGCTTTGGTGCATATTTGTCTGCATTCATGTCCTTCTCTGCCTTTACAGGCCTTCCAGGGCTCGCTGCTGAGAAGCACCCCCAGAGCATGATGCTGCCTCCACCATGCTTCACAGCGGAGATGGTGTATTTGTGGGGTTGTCCATTAGATTAGATGCTACAGCATCTAGTCTAATGGACAACAAGCTCAAATTCTGTCTCATCAGGCCAAAGAACCTCAACTGGACAAATCATCCCAGCAGTTGGAAATCTTTTTGTAACCATGTCCTGACTTTTACTTTTCAATCTGTTCTCTGAGTGGCTTAGAGCACTCTTTTGTCCTCATGTTGCAATTGTAGCAGGAATACTAAAAAAGAGACTGGACCTCCCAGACACAGGAGGTTTTATGTCACAATCACTTGACACATCAACACAGGTCCATTTCACTAACAGTGACACTGCTGGAATCAATCATGTTTATGTAGAGCAGCAAGAAGGTCTGTACAACAAACAAGTGTACACTGAAGCTCATTTAACTTTTTTATTCATTAACCCCCAACCGGTCGCGGCAGATGGCCCCGCCCCTCCCTATTGTGGAAAAAGTGGTGATGCTTAAGAGAGAAGACAGGCAGCTTAAAAAAAAAGCACAAGAATTTCACAAGTGAAGAAATTGAAAGAATAGTGTCAGAGGATGAAGCTGGAAAAAGCACACCTTGGGAAGTGCCTGCGCTGCAATACAGATCAGGTGAATGTTGTGTCCTCTGAGATTCAGACAGCGGCTCGGATGGAGAAAAAAAAGAGAAAAGGTCTGACATTTAACTTGATAAGGGGGGTAAAAAAAAGAGTAACTGAAAGAAAAAATAAAGAAGGAAGCAGGTTGAGAAGAAGGCGCGTCAGATCTGTCAGCTCATGATGAGAGACTCACTGCAATTACTGACTGAACACCCAGGAGCCAGACACTGGCAAGAAAGGAAGGTGAAAAGTGCTGAAACCCAGTGAGGATGAAAGGGGCATAAAGGGAATTTGAAGATGACTTGTTGTGTTTGTATTTAAGTTCATTTAAGGTATTAAAGTCTGTCAGTTAAAGCTTGCTGAATGTGCAGCGCATTTAGTTAAAAGATGTTTGCAGCTATGCAGCAGTAGGGCTGAAAGCTTGTGTGTCTGTACAGCACCTAAGGGGCTTCTGCCCTTGTTGTAGAAACAAATATGCAATAACATTTGTGAAATTGCACCAAATTTTAGCGTCTTTCAGTCGCCCGCGGTTACCTTTTGGCTGAGGATGGAGCGGATGGCCCTCTCTACTTCGGCAGAATTCTCGATATCCACCGTCCACACGTGGGGCCGACCGATGTACACCTCGGCGTATGGGTGCTGAGAGGTCAGCTGCAGGCAGCAAAGCAGAAATGAGAGGGGTAGGGGGGAGGGGTTAGGAAAATCAAACGATTTAAAAGTTATGGGTCGAGCTGCGGGGGACAAATCCTGCACTCCTCTCACCTCTCTCAGAGTGGGTTTGCCCTTGAAGAAGTCTGTGTTCTTGCTGCTCTTCGAAGGGTTGAACTTGGGGTTGAGGAAGGCACAGCCGTTGGCAATGGCCTCCAGTGGGGCGGGACCCTCGTAGGGGAAGGAAAGACCCACAAACAGCTGCAGAGGAGAGAACACACACGGCTGTCAGGCTCCATAGGCTGGATATTAACACACACAAGTCAGTAAGGAGGAGGCATGTGTGAACAGCAGTGTGCAGGTCCTGAAATAAGCACAACTAAAGGTGCCGGTGGGAGGAGGCAGAGGGGCGCCGAAGTTTACTGGCTGTGTTGAGGAGTCGCCAATAGTGCCTTGTAGAAACAAATCTCCCCTGTTATCAGCACAAATTGTGACGGAGGCAGCACATTTTCGCCATGAAACAAGGGAGGGAAAACAAGCCCGATAATATGAAGACATCACTTTTACGTTTACTCCTCCCACAGGGCTGAAGGAGTTTGATATCTTAGGCGTGGAGGTACATAACAGCTCAGCAATCAAATCAGATAGTAAACGATCATGGAAACTGGCAAAGACACCTTAGAACCGCCTTTCAGCTCTGAAACGACTCATTTAAATCAACGTTTATGTCTTTTAGGTGTTTCTTCGGCTTGTTTGGAAGCACATTAGCCATTACTAACACAGAAATACGTAATTTTTCTACTCAAACCTCTAAGCCTGGTTCTGCTGGAAGTTTCTTTCTGTTAAAAAAGTAGTTTTCCTTCCTGCTGTTGCCATGTGCTTGCTCAAAGGGGGCCATCTGACAATTTTCCACCACCATGTAGTAAACATGTAGTTTTCCATATTAAACAAAAAAAAGAAGGCTTTGTACAAGGAACGAGTGGCTTTTCAGCACTGAAAGTAAAACTGTGACATTCCACAAAACCTGACGGCCGACCGGGACTCTGGAAGTTTCTGGGTGTTTATGCTACGGTATAGTGTCTCCACTGTTTGTGCTTAGCCAGAATCCCAAACATTTATTTCAGTAAACAGTGAAAACGGGTGGAGGGTTCTAGAAGCAATTTTTCTTCTCCTGAGTGGAAAGAAAGCAAATATTTGTGGAGCTCGCCTGCATGAGTAGTGAGACAGCAATCGAGAAACTGAGAGGGGAGGCCGGGTGCCAGCTGAGTGGCTTATTGAGTGGAGCCAGCTGGCTGACACAATGGCTTATCTGTGTGTTTGAGTCGGTGTTACATACACACGCTTTCTTTAAGTGCACAATGCAGCGCTGTGTCATGAGGTATGCCTGTAGTCACATGAATAATCAGACCTGTGGAGTGAATTCTGCTCTTTCAGCTGTGAGTGTTACTGAAATATTTCTGCCAACAGGTGGCAGCAAAGCACGTGCGTTCTTTAATCGCATGCACGCAAAGGCTCCTGAAAGCTGCAAACCAGTCAGCTGGTACTTGTAGGGAGAGGACCCAGAGGGGGAGAAGAGCTGAGATAAACACACTGAATAACTCAGGTGGGAGTTTATGACTAATGCTTGCAAATTGATTGTAGCTAGATGTGAATGGATTTAAAAAACAAAAACAAGTTTATAGCACTGACCCACAATCTCATCATTAGTTTACAACGGCTCTGGAGTCCCGTGGTCATGGACAGGCTGACTTCAACACCATGCAGCTCTCCACATGAAAGCTGCTATCGATTTGGACCCCTGAGGAAACATCCTGCCTTACTCATGCAAAGGACACACACCTACGACACGAGAAGATTTCATTTTTGCTCTCATCGCTCAGCTTTAAAGTCGAGGGATGCAACTAATGATTATCTGCAGAACATCTGAAGGAAAAAAGTAGCATCAGTGCTAACAGTCAAATATGCATGAGGGCAATGCGGGAGTCTGTAACAGCAACTGTACAAAATATACAATTATTGTAAAAGTAATCAACAGAAATCAATCACATTTTACCATGAGTACTTTCTTACTTAATAGAAATGATTGCTCAGTAACTATGCACTCATGATAAAATATTGATATTGAATGGATAAAATATGATTGATTTCTGTTGATTTTTTTATACAATAATTGTGTATTTTTTGTGTGTGTATGCTGTTAATGAAAAATGTGTTTTTGTTGTGTGAACATCCTGTAGTGTAATCACTGGAGCCTCAAAACGTTGCCTTTAAGGAACCTGACTACATGTAAATGTTCTGTAAATGCAAGTACATTCAAAAACTTTAGATTCAACTAGAATCTGGTCAAATTTAATGGATTTCATTGGTATACATATGCATATTTTCCTTAAATAAATAAACCTTGGATTTCATATATGTCAGCTGCATTTTACTAAAAATATTAATGAGGGCCAAGAATCGTTTTTTTTAAATACCAGTAGCCGTCTCTGAAAGCACTTAAATGTTGTAGGGAAGAACAGCAGTTACTGTAGCACAAGTTACCTGTAGTTATTAAATATCAAAGATCACTTCCTTTACCAGTTTTTTTTTTTTTGGCTTGTTTGTTTTAAACACTTTCAGAAGCAGCAGCATAAACGCCCTCAGGGTTTTTTGCAAGCCTTGACAAAATGATCAGAAAAACAGTTTGAACGGGTGAGTGAAAGTGAGACTGTGCATATAAGAAGTTATATGGATATAAAAATATCATGTATCACCTTGCAGATGTGGTTTGAGGGTGGGGATTTTTTTTACTAATAAATGTGATGTGCTCACACACTAAACGTTAAACTCTTATGATCAAATAAATGTTCTACTCTTGGAATTTAGTCAGGAATTAAAGTATCTGCTCTCTTTGACATCACACAGAAACATAGTGGATGAAATGGAGACTAACGGACACTTTAGATCAGCCTGAGCTTTCGGCTAACACCTTTATGCACTGAGCACATTGAAGATTTTTGATGCAAATTTGTCGTATAACATCGAAACAGTTGCGATTTTACTAAAGTTTTGCCAAAATCCACCCAAAAATGCACTATGATTAAACTGGAGTCAACATCAAGCGATGGTGAGCTGGTCCTGATGCTTCTAAACACTAATCTGGGAGTTCGCCTTGTAATCGGAAGGTTGCCGGTTCGAGCCCCGGCTCGGACAGTCTCGGTCGTTGTGTCCTTGGGCAAGACACTTCACCTACCGCCTACTGGTGTTGGCCAGAAGGGCCGATGGCCTGATATGGCAGCCTCACTTCTGTCAGTCTGCAGCTGTGGCTACAACTGTAGCTGCCTCCACCAGTGTGTGAATGTGTGTGTGAATGGGTAGATGACTGGGTGTGTAAAGCACTTTGGGGTCCTCAGGAGACGGCGACAGTAGGGAGAATTTCATAGTTTGATCCAGGAGTTGATGCTGTCTCGCACGCTTTCGTACGAATTTCAGGATATTCGTCTGTGGGGCAGTTTGAACTCTTGCTGGCAGAGTAGAGATCACATCCGAGGTGATCAATTCAGAGAGATTGGGTCAGTCATTCGACTCGAAGCTGCGTCTAGCTGTGTGTCTGAGGTGAAACAGTATTATCACTGTATATTCATTGTATATTCAGTATTGTTGGTGGTCAGATCGGTTAATTTGCATAAAAAACAAAATCAGAAAAATACAAGAGGTGAAATTTGTCCGTGGAAACCAAAGTGCTCTATAAATGATGTTTAATGTGTTCTTCTTTACATTACGGTGTCTGTCAAATGTCAGACATCACCTGAACTTTCCAACATTATCTCATGCAACAATAGCGTCTTAGTTCTTAGCCACAGTAGCAGCAGGTGTTTTGCATTTCTGATTATTTCGACTGTCTTTCCCTGGAACAGTGAGCAGCTATTAGCCAAAAGACCTGAACACTCACAGGTGCTACAACTTCCACAATCTCTTAGTAACTTGCAGAACTCAACGCCAGATCAAGATCATATACAAAGGAGAAGAAGCTGCTATCTGCACCTTTGTCTAGCATGTAAATTTAAGCTAACGAGGTATCTGGAGTGAAAGTTGTCATGCAAAACGTGCTGGAACAACATCAGACTTCTGCCGTTGCCACGCAGGGCTTAAAAACACGGTGGCTTCTGAGTGTAATGACCCAGCGAGTTAATTAGGCTGTTTGTTCATGATATTTCTAATCCCAGCACCTGCCATGGGATGTTTGAGTTTTCCTTTTATGCTGATTACAGCGGCATTAACGGTGGAGCAAGACAAACACCATTACCATACTAACACCACTTCTTATTTTGCACACACTGCATACAGTAGCATAAATTGGTTGTTGAAAGCACGGTGTGTGCAGAAGGTGGAAAAACAGAAGCAAGAGAATCTAACAGGTTGAGTTAGACAGGCCTGTGAGACGGATGTGAGAAGGCAGAGAGAAAAACATCAAAAACCTCTGACTCTGTCAGTCTGCAACATGACGCAGCAACGTTTTGCTGCATGTCAGCGGTTTGATCATCCACGCTATTCACCTGATAGAGCGCAGCACGTCACAGTTTATTTCAGGGGATTTGGAGCTTGAACAACCTCCCCCCTTCCTTCAAATGTCACAAGGCAACATATTCGCAAAAGCGCCTCAACGCGGGAGCACTTTTAAAGCTAAACCTCACGAGGCCAATTAGCTGAGGCAGTCTGCTCGCAGGTAAGAGTAAACGTGTTGTTTAAGCGACGAAAGGACGAGTGCCTATAACGCCCCTTGTTTTGCTTGTAAACTCTTAAACAAGAATGCCGGAGAAATGTCTGGTTTTGTGCGATTTAATTGGCCGTTCCCCGATGGGTTTCCAGCCAGGAACGCATGTAATGAGAAGATATGGAGGTTTATATTATATCCCGGTTCTGTTGTGTGTTTACCTGCCAGACTTTGCTAATAAAGCTCTCGCTCCAGCAAATCATAATTCACTGCACTGTTGGTGGAGCGTTGTTTGCCTTCAGTCTTTAATGATCCGCTCCACTGCAGAATGCATCGTTGTCTTTCTGTGCCTCGGTGCCTCGAACATCACCGGATCCTTGGTTTCAGGTGCTCAGGACAGAATCACTAATGTTTTATGGCTAAAGCAACTCTGCAGCTCTGCTAAGGACAAAGAGGTTTAGATATATATCCATCTTTTTTTCTATAACTGACTGTATCGTGAGCTGTGGCCGTCTCGCTCTGATGTCCCTCCCTTGCCTGAAAGTATCTAGTTTCAGAGGCTAAAGAAAATCGAAGCCTCCCCTCACCTCATTTTTTCCTGAAAGGGATGAAGACTGAAGCCAGAGAGATTCTTAGCTGAATTAGTGCCAGTTTGCACCTCCAGCGGATGTTGCTGTCAGCTATGTGAGGATCTTGTCATTTTCATTCTGTAGCTATTTAGAAGTTTGCAGCTCGGTGGGAATTTTTTGGATACGTTTTCAAAGTGGGTCCACAGACCGTTCAGAACACGTCCCCTCATGACCGTGCAGTCTTAGCAAAACCATGACAGGTCATGGCAGACCTCACAGGAAATCGATTTCTGCTTCTTCTCCTTGTATTTCTGTTCTGTGTGGCAGTTATGGACACTATCAGGGTTTAGGCTCAAGTGAGAAGCAGTGTCTTCTTCTAGGGCAACAGGTATGTTTGTGTAATGAATGTGTCCCAAGATAAATCAATCCGGTGGTAAAACTGTCTAGTTTAAAACATAGATTGTATATCAAAGATGAACCTGCACAAAGCTGCAATAACTCTAATAATGTTTAACTTTAAGCCTTGAAAGAACTAAAGCGGACAGCTAATTATAGATATAAAGCAAGTGCTTTTACAACAAGAGGGGACTGCAGCTTCTGGGAATTATTTATTATTTTTACCTACAAGTGTTTGTTTTAATAGGTGTAAAACAAAGTGTTGTATGTTTAGCAGCCTTGCATACATTCGTAAAAACCTAGAAACCTGCCTCTCATACGTCACTGCCTCTGAAGAGCTTGCTCTACACAACACATTGCCATGTAGTTGTCTTTGTCAGTGCGAGTGGTTGGAGTATGAATGGGGAAGTACCTCTGTGAACGGCCAGGCTCAGAGAAAGCACAGCCATTTGGCTCAAGGCTCTTTCAGAGGAAGACCTCTATTCACATAAAGACATTTTTTCCACCCAAACCTCCAATAAGTCTCAGAAGAATCACATATTTACTCCAACTTGCCTGTAGATTTATTTTTGTAGCACTGATATGTGCTTCAATATTTCTTTTTTCAATTTCTTTTGACAAGCAGACTAAATATAAAGCAAGAAGAAAAACATTCAGAGGTGATTTTGTAGTCACGGCGCATCAAAAAGTCCAAGGTTAGTTAATAAAGATACAGCGTTTCTTCGATATACTGCAGGTAAGCCTCGCTACAATTTCTTCATTATTTTAAAAAATGTCAGTGTGGCAAAGTGTGGGAGTTGATCTGTGGCTTTTACAGCCACCTAGTAAGAACTGCAGCCATGTACTTTTATTTCCCTCAAGGCTCATTTTTCCATGTTAGAACATTTAAAGTGAGGATCTCTCACCTTCGTTTCTCTCAGGAGGAATTGAAGGTCTCGGCCGCTAAGGATGCCGTGGTTCTTAACGTAGCCCGGGAGGTGCACGGTGCTGGTGCCGTGTACTGTGCCGTGAACCTCCATGTAGCTGTGAATGATGTCCAGGTACTTCTTCTTGTCCTAAAAAACAAATGGGGAGGAAATGAAGCAGATCAATTTAAATTAGGTTCAAAGCAGCATTCAAACGTCAACCTTTTTAGGTTAAACTGGTAGAATTTAGAGACAAAATCTCCTCTCCTGCAAAAGCTCTTTGAATAGCAATTTCTGTTTGAGTGGATCAGTATCGGTATTTCATTTCGTGTCCTGGTGAACTTTTGTTCAGGCTACTCGACAGACCATCTGGCTTGAGTGGTGGGCTCAGCTAAAAATAGCACTGTAAAAGGAGCATCGGTGCACACAGTATCTGTTGTTAGTAAAGTCTACCTGATCTGTTATGCTCCTAAAGAAGAAGACCCAAAACCAAGTAATCCTGCTACTTTTACACTTAAAGTCATGCCTGGCCTGTTTCTACTGCACAGGAATGCTGACAAACTGATTATCAGGTCAAATGTGAAACATGGATAGAAAAACAATCTAATCTAATTTAAAGGGGCGTCTACTGATAACAGACAAACACATAGTTCCCCTGTGTTTTTGCCAGTGTTGTTACTTTTTTTTCCTTCTTTTTAGCAATTTTACAATGGGGGAAAGGAGTTTTAAAGACAAACAGCTACAGCCATCCAATTGCATTGTGGTAAATGTAGGACAATTTTTTGATTTTAACTTGAGACAAATACTAGGCACTGCAAGTTGAGATATATCAGCTCCTTTTTCGGTAATTAGTTAAGCAACTTGCAGCCATACTTGCAGATGTAAAAGCTGGCCTGAACTGCAGATTCTCCACACTGGAACGAGGTTTAACTGTTTGGTTGGCGACATTTCACACCTGTTATTTTGAATCAAACAGACAGCACAAAGAGTTTGCGGTTTGGAGGTATTTCACACAGGTTTGAAGAGAGGACGGATATGACAGGAAGCAGTGCCGCCTCACAATAAACAGCATTCAAAGTGGTTTTCACTCTCTGTGTTTATACATTACTTTGCATTTAATCAGTTACTATTCATCACTGCCTCTCTTCGGAGCCTCTTCATGTTAAAAGGGAGTTTTTCCTTCCCAGTGTAGCCAAGTGCTTGTTTGGGGGTGGGGGGGCTTGTCTGATTGTTGGGGTTTTCTCTGGACTACTGCAGGCTCTTTACCTTTCAGTGTAAAGCATACGGTTGCTGTGATTCAGTGCTACATTCTCAGTTCATTCAGAGCAATAGAAGTCTACCAGCTGACATCAGATGCATGCCTCTCTACAAACTAATGTCAAGTAGAGGTACATGCAGCCCACAAAGGTGTCGTGGTAGATCATCCCTAAGCCTTGTTAAAGATCTCTTCCTGTTAAAAAGGAAGCTCTTCCTCCCAACTGTCACTAAGCCACATCAGATTGTTGTTTGCAGATTTAGATATGCAAAAGATGTCAAAAGGACATGTGTTAGCTAATGATGAACAGAAGACACGGCAACATGTGAATTAGAAAAATGGGCTCTTTAAAAACTCCCAGTCAAAAGTTTTCTGGACTTGCTTTTGACATGGTTCTGCACATTATTCCTTATTTAGGCTATCATATTTAAGTTTCTCCCACAGAGAAACCCGCAGCAGGTGTTCGACTTTTAAAAACAAGGACATAACTGTTGTATAACCCAGCAACACTCGAACATAAAATGCTGAACTGAAGTGCAAAATATGTTTTTAACTGTATCCTGTGCCTTCTAAGCACTGAGCCCTGTGGGAGCGGGGTACAGTGCAGCTGAGCGCTCTTAAGGTAGAACCCTTCAGGGAGGCAGTAAGATGAAAGCTGCCACTCTTCTCCATCGTGATGTGAAGCCACAATTACCAGTATGTATGTGTGCGTACACACACACACACACACACACACACACTTCTATAATGGAACATTATTGTTTACAAGAGCTTTAACACTCATAGAGAGGCAAGGCTTCACTGTTGTTAAAAGTATAAATCAGATATCCTACACACGAGCCTGCCTTTGAATCTGTTCTACCTCCAGGATCTGTTCCTGCTCCGTGCTGTTGTGTGTGTGTGTGTGTCTGTGTGTGTGTGTGTGTGTGTCTCCCACAGTACTTCCTTTTGGGGGTTAAATTTCAGGTAGTCGCTCGTCAGGGTCCCTGGAGGCCTGGCTATCAGATGCCTCCAGCCAGCCTGCTGTAACTAAAGCAGCCTCTGTGTGTGTGTGTGTGTGTGTGTGTGTGTGTGTGTGTGTGTGTGTGTGTGTGTGTGTGTGTGTGTGTGTGAGATGAAATCCTAATTAGAAGGTGAAATCACTATCCTGTAATCTCCTCACTCAGGAGGGCTGAGCCAGGATTTGTGTGCGTGCCTGTGTGAGTGTGAGAGGGAGTGAGTGAGAAGGTCTTTACTAATCAAGGTTACTGGCAGGTATCTGAAGAGAAAGCAGAACAGCGTTGAAACTCTAACGTGATGCTGCAGGAGCTCAGAAGACGCTAAGGAAAAAAAGACGAGCAAATAAACTGCTGGTCTATAACTCTGATATTTTACAAGTTTGTCTTATTTAAAGCAATAACCGAAATACGTCTAATGCAGTCAGGTGATTCACATCAATATTTTAATTATGTACATATGCAACATATTTTTTACTTTTACATCAGTTTATGGTGCACTGACTGACTAAAAGAGCTAGGATTACTTTAAAAGCAGAGTTTATGTTCATAAACGAATACTGTGAATATTACTGCAGTCGGTTGGCAGTCACGTCTTTTTTTATGACCAACAAACCCTATAATAAAAAAACGACTCTTGCAACTTTTACACAACAGCAAGACTGTAAAACACAATAAAATTAAAAAAACCCTCAAATGCACCAAGTGTCACAGTGTGTTCAGCAAGTCAATGTGCAACAGTGATAGCTCCTGCGTGACAAAATCATGGTTTAACTGTCTGTATGAACTGTGAAACCAAAGCCAACTGCCTTAACCGTGCATTGTTTCTAACGGCTAGCAGGGGGTGACGCAATGGCTCTCACGTTCTTGATAAGTGCATAATCAATTCAGTTTGTCTAAATTTTGTAGCTGATGGTTCCCATTAGAGTTAAAAACCAGGAAGAATCCTGTAGTGCAAGCCTACAGTATCAAAGTGTTAACGCCAAGCTGTCAGCTTACAGTCGCGCACTGTCCCTGGTCTTCACAGTCACATCATGCTCAGCTTCAAAACACCAAACTGATATGTGATGTCCCAGCGGTTACTTCGCTGTTTGCCATTCCAGGAAGCATGGGTGAGTATACGTGCTGTAAAAGAAGTGTGCGACAGGTTGCGTCATCTGTAAGAGTGATTTGCAAATATGCAACTAAAAAAAAAAAATCCACACACAATAAAAGGAAGAAGTCTGAAGGCAGCAGGATGTGAGCTTCTTTCTTTTTAATAAATGGGGACTGCTCCAGTAACCCTGATTGTATGCGGAGGATGAATACGCAGTCGACTGCTGCGGCCCTTCAGGCCACACTCAGCTTTGTACTTACTATCCAGATGTCTTCTAGAGCATGAAGAACATTACAAAAACAACGACGAGCTAGAGGAGCGTGACTGCAAAGTGGATCAACATTTTTTTTGATTTATCGTGGATTTCCTTGGCTTTGCTTTCCTGTAATGATGTTATGTCAACTTCTATTCATGATCCTATCTCAGCTGTCAGCACGCTGTGAATTACAAAGAAGTTATGACTTTAGAGCACTAACAGGCTCAAAGTCTTCCCCCTCTGACGGCCTGCGTGCATTTGGGCGAGCAGGGTGATGGGCGCCCGTCCGTACTGTACGTATATGTGTAGGTTTCAGAGCGCGTGTGATATGCAACGTGAAACCAGGGAGCACATCGATTGCGGCGGCCTTGAACAGGAGCACGTGCTCGGGGAGTTATAAAATAACTGCCTGAGCTGGCGAGGCTGATTGAAGCAGGGGGAGGAGGAGGAGGTGCGTTTTATGACCTTGTAAATCAGAGGGAATTTGTAAACCTTGGCTCAAAGAGGAAACAGGAGAGGAGGCTGCTGCTTTCTGTCGGGCTGAGGGATGAGTGTCCAGGGATGGAAGCAGACAGCGTGAGCAACACAGAATCGGAGAACAGCAGACCCACACACATTTTTGGTTTAAAGGGAATCTATTATGCTTTTATCTATTTCCTTTCATACACATGCACAGTTAGAACAGTGGCTTATATTAAACATGGATAAAAAAATAAGGCCAGTGTAAGTACAAGTGATCTCTGTAAGCCAAAAAGCTCAGGCTCAGGGTTTTTTTCTACTCTTGGCTCGCAACATCTCTACAAACCTATTTACAAAGAGGCAGCCAATCAGAAGAGGTTTTCTTAAAGGTAGAAGTTAAATTGCTTTTTTCCCAGACAGGTATAGGATAAAAAGAAGGATTATTTCAACTGGTAAAACACTGAGCTCCATACAGGGGTCTGACATGTTTAAAAAAGAAAATCACTGAAATACATGTACACAACTGTATACAGTCCTCCTAAACTTGATTTTGTTCTCAGGCCTCAAGTTAAAGAAAAGAGAGCAGACTGTTGAGTCGAGCAGTAACCTGAAGAGGCGCGGGGAGCTTGAGCCTCATCAGAATGCAGACAGATGCATGCGCTTCGACTTACATGACCATCAAACTGCCTTCAACATCGAACATCAAACGTACCTCAGATCGGCCCCCTCCCCAATCTGAAATTATTTCCAACTGAGAGACTCTGGAGGCCCCAAAACGGCAAGCTTGTCAATCAAAGCAAAGAATAAAATGAAGTTTAAAAAAAAATCACTTCAGCCATTCTTCAGAGAGACGGGAAAAATCATTTCCCCCCACAACACTCAGACCCATTCAACACACATACTGCACTGATATACTGAGCCTTGGAGAAAGGCTGCAGTTTAAGTGTGATGTGTACACGGTGCTGCAGAGAGGTTTATCTCTGTCGCTGTATGTTTTAAAAATCAACCATGGAGTCACTTCAGGGAGGACACAGAGTCAAGCTCAGCATCACATCTGCTGATGGCTCAATGATTCCCTTTCACACATCC